GTATGTGAAACAAATATTTTCCAAAGGTATATACTGTAGTACTTTACAGGGTTGAGTGGCGTTATACTTAGCTTCATGCTAACGGGTTTGTTTTCTACTTGTTGTTTGTTAACCCCTTTCAGGTGGGCCCAGTTCATGAGAGAGAGTACGAGTTAGACTAGACTAGCATTAGTTAGCTTTTGTCGTCTAAACTCTTGATGTTGATTTGCTTTTGAGACTTGTAGTTGACTACCCTATGTTTGATGGTGCTGGACACCGGGGTTTATCCCCTAGTTTGATTGATGACTAGTAAAACTTTTACGATTTAGTTTGTTTATCCTTAGCCTGTGCAATCATCGTGAAGGGTGATTGTGGCGGTGACACCTCTAATTAAGTTGTTTAGTACGTTTATTTCGCTACCTTAGCTTATCTTTCAAGGTTAAGTCTGTTAATAAGGTTTAAGAAAAGTGGGGTGTTACACCTCAGGTCCTCCAAGGACATCAATCTCGCCTTTATGGCCAAACTAGGGTGGAGAATGCTGACAGATCACTCTAGTCTGTGGAGCCAAGTTATTAGAGGGAAGTATGTCAAAGGAAAACAAGGCATTACCATGTTCCAACCCAAAACAGGAGCATCAAATGTTTGGAGGGGCATTACGTCTGCCATGCCCCTTGTTACAAGAAATATTCATCACATTATTCATAATGGGGATGGAGTGCGTTTCTGGAAGGACTCCTGGCTTACAGCTGAACCGCTGCACACCCAAATTAATGTTGATTGTTCTGAGGGAGAAGACACCCTTGTTTCGCACCTTTGGGACGCGACGAGGGGGTGGAAGTGGGAGAACCTCACCAACCTCCCTCTTAGCATAAAAAGGAAACTTGAGCTAGTTGAACTCCGGGATGGAGATGACGAAGTCACATGGAACACGGAGCCATCAGGTATGTTCTCTGTTTGATCGGCTTATAATACGATACATGAATGTGTCTTGCCTGTGCAGGACCCTATTTGGAACCATCTGTGGAAAATCAAGGCCCCCCAAAAAATGAAAACCTTGATGTGGACTATCATCCATGACAAAATTATGGGAAACATTGAACGACGAAGAAGAGGCTTTACCATGGCTGGAGACTGTCAAAATTGCCCAGGTCAGGACGAAACCACGGAACATATATTCCAGTCTTGTTCAAAGGCAATGGAAGTGTGGGAAGGGCTACAAGGAAAGATGGGCAACTGGAATATCCACCATACCAATTTCAAGGAGTGGATAACGTGTAATATTCAACCAAGCAGGAAAAGAATGGAGGACATAGACAGACCCGCTATGTTCGTAACCACTTTGTGGTGGATATGGAGATGGCGCAATAACAGTATCTTCAAAGGGGAGGTCATCGACTCCAACAGGAAGGTTGCTTGGGTCTTGGAAGCGGGAAAGGAAATCAAACGAGCTTTTGATCGTATGCATGATGGGCGCTCCAACATCTACAAGTGGAACACCATGAACCCACATTGGTCCTCTTCGAATGGGCACGAGTGGATGCTGAATGTGGATGCCAGCGTCAAACCTTCATCTCAAACAGCCGGTTATGGTGGCATCCTCAAAAAAGCTAATGGTGATTGGATGGGAGGCTTTATTGGAAAATCAAACCACGAGGACGCTACACTTGTGGAAGCCGAAGCCATTTCTAAAGGCCTCAACTGGGCTTGGAGGAAAGGCTTAAGAGATATTGAAGTCCAATCGGATGCTGAGCGTGTTATTAATTGGGTCTTGGGTAACTCTGAATTAAGAGGCCCCATTTGTGAATACGTTGAGAACATTCAAGAATGGTTGAAGGAGAGCTGGAAGCTAGGTATCCCTCCGGAAGATCGTTCGCGAGCAAAACGAGTGCGCCGATGCCCTTGCAAATATGGGTGCGAATATGAATGTGGAATGGCGCGAGCTCGAGTGGTGCCCTCTTGGCATGGAAGAGATCATTGATAACGACCGTCTTCGAGCGAGCTGGGCTCGTAGTGAAAGGAACTAAGTTATTCTTTTCGGGGTATCACCCTCCTGTTTGATATTAAAAAAAAAAAAAAGACATAAATCATGTGTAATAACATTGGTTTACTCTTATACGTTTTTTTTTTTTTTAAATTTAGATTTTAGATAATAATAATAATAATAATAATAATAATAATAATAATAATAATAATGTAACTATTTTTATAAATTTGATATTTATATTTTAGAAAATAACTAACAAATCATTATTAATTAAAACCTAAATGAAATCAAATTTATTTATTGTATATTACTCTAATATATAATGTCAGACATATATTATTATTGGGAGAAGACATATATTATTATTTTTTAAGAATATAAGAGAATATTTGGTGGATGCATTAGCACGCATAGCAACAATAATGAAATGCTAATGAAAGTTATAAGGGTAGAGATAAATTGTATAGTACAACTCGAAAACACAATGTACAAACTAAAAATACGGACATAAATTATGGATATAAGTTAGATTGAAACTTATTATGTTTTTATTTAGATATACACAAATACAAATCTCTTTCATCACTAAAACATGTTAATTCGACTAGACTAGTCTTATATCATGAAATGCGAAGACAAATTAACATGTTTTGGTGATGATATAAGACTACTATAGTCGAATTAACATGTTTTGGTATTTAAAGATATATTTGTATTCAACTAGACTAGTCTTATATATTTGATATAACAGTATACAAGACACAAAAACTCACAACATAAAACACATATATATGCACCAAGGTCCACAGTGCATTGTGAACCCTAGTCCATGGTATAAGGATTGTGAACACCGAAAAATTTTATTGTGAACCGTGATCTATGTAGCAGTGTGGACCATGAAGTATGTATCAATTACACTTCAGTTTCATTTGACAACATTGCTATGTTTTTTAGTTTCATTTTCCCTCCACACTAGTTTCATTATAAATTATAACAATCAATGTTGAAAAAATCGCTAGGCGCCCTCTAGGCGCCTGGGGACCGCCTAGGGCGCCTAGAACGCCTAGGCGGGCGCCTAGCGCCTAGGCGCCGATTAATCGGCGCCTAGGCGCGCTTTTTGCAACAGTGATAACAATACTAAATTATCATTTTAATTCTATTATAGTTTCATTTGATAATATACATTATTGTTTTAGTTCTATTTTTTTTTTTTTTTGGTTTAATTTTTCATACACATTAGTTTAATTATAGTAATATTAATATATTAATGATCTTGTGGTCTAGTGACATAAAGTGGCTTTTCTAAATGGTAGGTCATGGGTTTGATCCCTAGTGGGGGTGGTATTTTAATAGCACTTAAGGTCATTTGACAATATATGTTATCGTATTACGTATAGCTCCGAATTTTAGTTTCATTATAGCAATACTAAAGTGACGGTATTTTAATTGCACTTCAGGTCATTTGACAATATATGTTATTGTATGACTCCTAATTTTAGTTTCATTTTCTACACACACTAGTTTTATTATAGCAATACTAAAACATCATTTTAATTATACTACAGTTTCATTTGATAATAATGTGCTCTGTTTTTTAGTTTCATTTTTCACACATACTAATTTCATTATAGTAACACTAAAGTATTATTTTAATTGTACTACAGTTTCATTCGACGATCATGGTCCACACAGCAATGTGTGGATCATGGTCCACTGTATAACAATTGAATAACACCATCAATCTCAACCTAAATGAACATTATTAATAGAGAAAATTACCTAAATATTATATCTTTTCGATATGTAATTAAGGAACAACTTTATTCGCTGTTTTTATTTAGTTATTTATTTATTTATTGATTTCTTACTATACAAGCTAGCAAGGTGGAATGAACATCTAACTATGTGACTTCATACCTGCTAGTGTTGACTATGGGAACCCAAAACACCATTGTGTTCGTTAAGAGATTTAAAAAATAAAAATAATTATAACTTGGATTTTACTCCCAAAAAAAAAAAAAAAAATGCAAGTTCCATTTGTTGGATAGAAGTGTTGTACCAATGCCCTAATAGCAGCAATGATAATCAACTCATGTTTTTCAAAATCTTTTTAACAACAGATTTTTATTTATGTATAATTACATTATTTTAATTTTAATTTGTTCAAGAAATAAATTACACTTTTTTTACCTTCTTTTTTTAGTTTCTAGACTTAATTGTTGAATTAATAGTTCTCCGAATATTGAGGTATTATCAATTATGGTCCAAAAATTTTAAATTGACCAGAGACAATCCTTCTAGTTCCAAAAAGTGACCTCTCGTGATTCTCCGTTAATCAAACCATGAATTAGGCGTTAAAATGGAGGGCAATTTTTTTTTTTTTTTTAAAGATTCTCATTATTCTTTCTCTGCAATTTCATTTATTTTTTCCCACGGGACTAGTCGCCGTTCACCGGAAGTTTATTTGAGCACCCATCGTCTCCATTGTCGAGGTCTACCAAGCATGCCTAATAATTGAGAAAAAATGTCTGAAATTACAGAAAAAGAAGGACGAGAATTTAAAAAGACAATTTTACCCTCCATTTAACGCCTAATTCATGGTTTGACTAAAGGAAGACCATCGGAGGTCACTTTTTGAACTCGAATGACTGTCGTCTCTAATCAGTTTAAAACTTTGGGACCATATTTGATAATATCTCAATACTTTTGGAGGACCATTAGAGGTATTAATTCCTTAATTGTTTTATTTATGGCATTTCCATATGTTTTGTTTTCCTATTTCAGTTCACAATTCCAAAATTATATCTTTAATCGTAACCTAGCACCCTATTTGCATCATGAGTCATCTAAAATTGAAGTGAAACACGACTACAATTATTTCATTTCTCTAAATTTTCATTCTCTATTCTCTGTTCTAAAATTGAAAAAAAAAAAAAGCATACAGTAAGGTTGCTCTTTCTTCAAAAAACCAGAAAAATTCTCCAATTAGCAAACACATCTGACGGGCAGAATGTAGATGAACATGAACATCAGAACATTTAAATTGAATGCAAAAATCATGTATTCCATTCATTAATCTGTGGTGTGGCTCAATTCTTACAGACAGCTGAATAAACTTCACCAGATTCATCAAGACTTGATGAATAAACACCATACATAAGAACACAGCAACAAAAATCATCACTTGACTGACTATAAGTACATAGATTCTCAGGTAGCTATGCACAACATATTCCGATATCCCTAACTTTTTGACTGTCCCTGACTAGACACAATGTTTGCTACTGTCTACTATTGGTAAAGGACCCAAAGGAAAAAAAAAAAAAAAAAAATAATAATAATAATATAGTTCAGAATAATTAGGCACACCCCGAAACAGGCGATGTGCGAATACCAAAGCGTCATTGCATGTACAAATCCTGGCCGAGACTCATTTAGAAGTTTAACTCCATCCAAGCTTCTGTGCGAAGTATTTCTTATCGGCGTTAGCCAAACGATCTTGGAACATCGCCCATTCACCTCGACATCTCTCTTTTACCTACAAAAGTTTAATCCAGGTAATTATTCAGACTAATTCTTGAATGTGACAAAGAAATTGTGTAGTTGGGAGTTCATTCTTTGTAGTAAGCAATATGTTACAAAATAATATCGCCGGTGCTCCTTGTATGTAAAGTGAGAGAAAAATAAACTGGGCGTGCTTGGCAAACCATTATTAACCATGTTCTTGGGTGAGCAAGTGGAACTGAGTTTTGTAAATCCTTGTTTGTGGAAAAGTCTAGATCGGGTTGTTGATTTCCAGGAAGGTTAAAACTAGAGCAATTTGACCTTAAAATGGTTTCCGAGTCGGATTTATTTCATTCATGATCCCGACTAACTTATTCTTGTTCCCAAAACTACCATGGGCAGACAGTAAGACACAGGCGAAGGAAAAGGAAGGACTATATACATACCCCTTGCCACGCAACTTTACCATTTACAACCTGACCCTGCATATTGCATCAATACAATAGTAAAGAGATGAGAGCAGATTAGCATTAAAAAAAAAAAAAAAAAAAAAAAATCGAACATGAAGTATAGTTCATTCATTACAGTGCAGAAATACGGGACACATATAAGCAATAACCAAGTCACGAACACAATTAAAAGGGAAAGAATATGAGTGTTTTGGATTTGAAGTGTAATAGCATACTCATTCTTCAAATTTAGGGAACAGGAAAAAGAAAAGTCACTTTGCTTCTTAAACTGTAACTTTGCAAAACATTTATGTAATTTAGTTTTATGGATCCCTATTTTTCAATGCCCTGAAATGGCGGAGTCCTTCCTCCCAACGGGAATGTGGCAATGAAACTGGAAAAGTAATTGATAAATCCAGATATACAGAAAGGGTTCAACGCAAGATTAAAATACAACAATCAGAAATTAATGATTACTCAACCTGAGCCCCGAGAGAAGGGATGACTTGATGAATTATCCACTGTGAATCAACAACACCAATCTTTTGATGAGCGGGCTGCACAGACCAAAATAAGAAGTCTTAAAAGATAATTCTTTTAAGGGTGCTTAGAGAAAACCCCTTTTCATTCATTCATGGGGGATGAACACAAATTCAAACCTCTACACATCTTCTGAGAGCAAAATCCAATCCCCATCCATGCACCAGATCATTCTACAAGAAAATAAGCAAATAGTAACCATTACATAATTGTTTTGATAAGTTGGTAGTACCAATGGAAATCCAAAAGGCAATAAAAGAATCTCAAGATTGTGAAGTACCTGAATCATATGCCAAACACATCGCCATGCTCCTTGAGAAAACACAGGAGCCATGATTTCTACAAAACTGAACAAAAGCAGAAATCAGGCACAACTAGAACTAAAAACTGCGGTCAACAAGTATTAAGAAATACAGAGCATCTTATAAGGAGGGAGAAAAATTACGCTGCACAGGGAGGAAGATGCGGATCACTGCACCAGCCTGGTTTCTCATCTGTATCTCTGTTCATCCATGAGAAGAAGAGTTAGAACCTTGCACAAGGACAAGCTACTTGAGAAGAAAAAAAATGTAGCCATCTCAAAAATCATAGAGGGAGTTGGACACAAGAAATCTACTTGTGAACTTCTCTGTCTCCTCTTCTTTTTGTCATCTGCCATGTCAATCCATTGTTTGGCTCCAGACCAGGCTGAGATATCTCTAGACCATGTTTCCTCACTAGCTGAATATACCTGGAATTTTGAGGGATCCAAATTTAGTCAGAGAGACAATTTACAAGAGAATTTTGATTCCCAATGAAAAAAGTTATTAAAAAAAAAAAAAAAAAAAAAACAAGAATAAATTATAGAAACTTGCCTATCCCCATTGAAGTGTTCTACTCCAAGATCTTCATCCCAAATAAATATGTAATCATAAGCAGCTACGACATCAGGGTGCAAAAACCGCTTTGCATACCACCTAGGAATAAGGAAACATGAAGTGTGAACTGTGAAGAATATATAGGGAAACATGAAGTGAGTGAAAATTATCTAGGGAAATATGAAGTGCATGAAGATAACATAGGGAAACATCAAATGTGTGAATACTGTAATAGGTGAACAGAAAGTGTGTGAAGAGTATAATAGGGAAACACAAAGTGTGTGAAGATCATGGAACTGCAGAAAAACTAAATTGTCCAAATTTAACTTGAGATATTGACCCTTAGCCTAGTAGTTGATGTAAGGCCCCTTGACCTTTGGTTGGGGTTCAAATCCCATCAAGAGCAATCCTATGTGGGGTATTTTAGTCCCACCTTATGGGGGGTATTTAGTCTGCATTTATTTAAGGGTGTTGTATTTAGTCATTTTTACTTGATATTGGTGTTCTAGAGATTGTAAATTGTAGTGTATCGATCATTTGATTGTAATTGCATTGTATTCTCATTGTACTAAGGAAAATAAAATCAATAAAATGTCAACCTAATAAAAATTGTGTCTTACCATTTTGTCTGCTTTTTAATACTAACATGAATTGCACGCTTTGACCACTCAAACTGATCCCATTCAGTTGTCCGACCATCATAATGGAAAAGCATTATTTGAAAATCTTCTGAAAACTAAAAATAACATTACATAATAAACTCAGTACATGGAATCCAACAATGTACATAAATACATATATACAAATCAATAATGCTACTTATTTCTCGATAGAATTCCTTCATTTAAATAACCTTTTTAACCGCTGCATTGATATTGTTCCTCTGGTCCCAACCAACTGTAAAGGTGACCAAGTACTTCGGTTTCCTTATCAGATCCTGAAAAATCCAATAATGTTGAAAGACTGGCAATCAAATAATGCACTAAGCTTTTGTGTGTGTGTGTGTGTATTTGGGTTGAAGAATGACTGCTACCATAGTGTTTATTACTTAATTATATTCCATACTCATAGAACAAGATAAGGCAGATCTGTTAATCACTGAATCTAGTATATGTTAGATGCATAATAGACTGAAAACAGAAGAACTCTACTCCAGCTATTTACACACACACACACAAAAGGAAGAAGAAAAAAAACCCACAGATGACCACAGCTAAAATATATAAATGAAAATCTAAAAGCATCAATAAAGAAGATATTACAATGAAATAATAACAGAGCCAATTACAAACTCCCAAGTATAAGAATACTATTCAGTACACCAAATTTGCGGATGGAAAAAAATTTATCAGTATTGTACCTCATGTGGATCACCCCATAATCTTCGTGGATAAAAATCAGATTCTGCGACTACAATTCCTGGTGGCAAGGACTCTGCACCACGGGGATTGGTAGGTACATAGACCTGGATGTCAAAACAGTTATTATCAATAAGTAAAAATCACGAGTGCTCTGAATAATAAATCCATAACAGCTCTAGTTCTCAACCATATAAATTCCCAAAATACATAAAAATCATTTCAAGAAACTTCTCTGTATATCTTAAGGAAAAGGCAAATATATGAAACTATCTTCATGATGTGAAAAGGAGAATTTTAATATATGGGAATCAAAATTCTATTCAATAACTGGACCACTTGTATGCAGTCCTAAAAGAAAATTTAAACAAAAAGGATAAAAGGGAGAGAAGTTGAAATGGTGGTAACTGATTCTGACGCGGGGGGGGGGGGGGGGGGGGGGGGGTTGAGGGGTGGGTGGGGGTGGAGAGGGAGGAGGAGAAGGCAAGACTGAATGATAGTGGACTTTCCCTGCTTCTATTGACGTAAAAGAACTGCTTGGTATCCAATTTACACTTAATAGACACATTATAGACAGAACAAGAATTGTCGATATGTAATTTGGGGCAAACAAACCACTTGATCACTACCAAACATTAACAGCATTTAATGAGCCAAAAAAAATCACCAAAATAACAATCATTTTATGCAAATTAATGGCCTCCCGACCCCTATATAGATTAAAACTTAACATGGAATTCCAATCAAACCTGTCAGCCTGCTGTTTATAAACTTCATTCACCTAACAAATCTAATACATAAAAGATAACAGGACAGGACAAGTATCGAAATCCAAAAAATCTTATAACAAATAAGTACCTTAGGTGTTATGGGAGTGCTACCCGAACCAAGGTTTTCAGGGAAACTACGACTAGCAAAATTTTGATGCTCGTCACTGGCTACATCAAGAGATGAGATTTTAAGGCTTGAAGGTAAGTTAATCTGCACAAGATCCTTGAGAATCAAATGGATGACAAATATATAACTTTACAATTTGGAACATGCACATCCACCAATTGGCAAACATACCTTCGCTAAAGAGACAAATGGAAAGGACATGCCTATAAAATATCCAAACACCATTCCCATTATTGTTGTCATAATAAGTCTGGCACTATCATGTGATTTTCTGCAATTGGAAGGAATTTAAAGAAAAATAACACACACACACACACACACAACATTAAGACTTCATGAGCTAACAACTGCAAAAAGAAATTTTGTGCTAAAACTGGAATATAAAGATATCTAACAAGTCTAAGGAAAAAAAAAATTAGTGGATACTTCCAAATATTATATATGAGAACACACACACACACACACATATATATATATATAGCTGACCTGCGGTAAGGGGTTCCCATTGTCATAAAAGTTGCCCAATTTAAAGGTCATGCACTAGGCAGAAACCAAGTCTTTGAGCAACTTCTGAAACATGTATAGCATCATCCAGCCTCAAGCAAGCAAACCTCACAGGCCTGTAAAGGAGTTTTATAAGTCATGCAGTGATAAGTTCACATAATTCATATGCACCTTCATCACCAAAATTTTCAATCTGATATTCTCTCACATGCATCAAAAATTCTTTAAGCCAATCTTTTTTGTAGTGGAATCACCAACACCAACAAACTATGAACCAAATTGATATAGAAGGTGTTTCAGAAATCCTTATTATAAATCATGTTCTCAAAGTCACTATGGGTATCACTTTGCAAATTAAGTTATCAATCAAACATGGGATAGAATAGCACTCCATGCTTCCACTAATCTAAATAATAACCCAAGGAAAAGAACTCAGTCAGAATCAGATCAAATCACTCCTTTAAAAAAAAAAAAAAAAAAAAAAAAAAAAAAAAAAAAAAGATCAAATTAAATTTAAATTGATAAGAATGATTTGATGAAAAAAATAATAATATTCAACTCTTCTTTCACATATCATAATTTTTTACTGTTTACTTCATTCTTGGAAGTTCCTGTATCCCCTAAAGCCAGCAAATTTCATAACCGAAATAGAATAGCCAGGAAATAAACTCATTAAGCACCAGTGTCAAATTTGTTTTCCAACATAACATTTGCATCAATTTTTAGGAAAACCAAAAACAAAATGAAAAAGATCAAATCTTTTATTTTTCATCATACATAGAGCAAATCTTATGTTAATTATACTGATCTGCGGAGAAAAAGAAGCTAAAAAATATACAAGCATAAAACACAAAATGCCCACAAATATAAATTACACTAATTCCATTTAAAATGATCCCGATTTAATTTCCCTTTTCAAATAGCAACTCTAGTTCGAGGATTCGATGTGAAAATGAATTGCTGGGATTAGTTCCAAATGAATGGGAAAGCAGCGTTGACAAAGAATTGGAATAGGCCCCCAATTATCATTCAAACAAACATTACAATAGGGAACATTAAATCCCGAAAACCCCTACATTTATATTTCTGAAGGAATCAGAATTGAAATGGGACGAAAAAGAGGAGAAAATAAAAAACTATTGAAAACGAAAACAACAACAACAACAACAAAATAAAAAATTCGAAATGTAGCAATGGCGAATTGCATAGTAGAGGAAGGCGCTGGGTTTGTGAGTCTTACAAGTTTCACCGATGGATTGAAAAGGGAGGAGACTATGGGGGATTGGGTGTTCACCTTCCTGACTCCTGAGAGACCGGTATGAATGTTTGATATGTTGCAGAAGACATATAAATAAAGATAACCATATGCTCTAAAAGGGTTAGGTCCATTTAATGGCGAAATAATTCACATTTCCCTCATTTATATTTATATTAAATTAAAATAAAATAGATAGGATTTTCAACGGTGGTGTTTGCTTACTCTGGGAGGTCGGTTAGCGCTTGTTAACCTTTCTATTAATCTCGTTGAGTAGTTCTATATGCTTAGATTAACTTCAAGAATTCTACAAGAAAATTGAATCTTTTGTGAGGAGCTAGAGATAAGATTTTAAGAGTTATATTATCTAATAAGGTGATAAAAAAATATTGTTTGGAAGGGCGTTTCAAATTTCAACTGAATGGTGTTAATAAGCTTAAAGCAAATGACCCTTTACCAAACACTTGTTTTAGCCTATTGACTAAGTCAATCATTCAAAGCTGGTCAAATCAAATGAAAAATAAATTAATCAATTTTCAAGTATTCCTTTAATATCATTTCAAATTGACCACGTCAATATTAATTAAATACCTAATTAAAATTAAAAATGTATTTAAAAAAAAAAAAACAAATACTCATAATTTGTTAGAAGATAGTATTTTTTATACTTTTTAAATATTTTCAACACAAAAAAATTTAAGCCCCCACCACCAACAGGTCCAAACCTATTATCATCCATTTGAAAATTAATAGTTTTCACTTATTCACAAGCTTGAATTACCATAAGTTGAAAAATACGTTATCATCAATCTTCAAATGACCATACTGCTCCTCTCAATCCTTTTTTTTTTCCCTCTATTTAATGTTGCCTAAAATATGATATAAGTTAATTTTAGAAGTATACTTACTCGGTCTTCTTTAATCTTGGAATAGTAGTCCATCAAATCCATGAATTTTGCCAAAACAAGTTTGTCCCCTATGGTTGATAAATTACCTTCCTTAAAACCTTATGATAGTAATTACGAGGTTGTAAATCGCAATCAAAATGTTAATTAATTTTTAAAAAAATGGTTTAAACTTTAATTTAAATACGTAACACACGTACACCTAACTAAAAATAAAGAAATTAAAATGTGTTACTTGGATTGTGTCACGTACAAGAGTGACAATAACATGTTTGTTAATTGTAGACATACCAATTATCATGTGCACTCTTATAAGCCGTGCATTTGAGCTTATCAATGGTCAAGACTGAGTGTGCACGCCTGACCATGTGCATCGCATTTGTTGTTTGTATTTGTGGTGTTGCTTTGTGTAAGGACGTTTTTGTAATTTCCATAGAACACTGTGTCGGGTGTGTTTAAGGGTCTTGTTTTTTTTTTTTGTTTTTTTATGGAAAATATTACATGTACTTCCATTTTTTACTCGCAATTTGTACTCTATTTCACAAATTCTTGATGTTGACACATTTTCTAGGACCCACGTGATGAAAATATCCAATCTTTGTTTGCCATGTCATGGAGTACAAGTGAGGGAGTAGAATTTGGGAGTACATGTAGTAAAACTCATTTTTTATTTTCCCCTTTTTTACGTTGCTGCTAGGGTTTCTACGAGGTGACGTTTGGCGTAACGGTGACCACAACGAGGTAAGTCGGAATTCTCATTCTATATGTTTGTATTCCTAGTGACGCACCTTTTCTGGGGGTTTTAGGGCGCGTCTTAGGGGCTGAATTGCTAGATCTATCAAATTGAACGATTAAAACTTTGGGTGTGGTCTTGGGTGCATTTGAATGAACTCAAAATCTAAACTTGTCAGCCTAATACAACAGCCGGTCCATTACTACGGGAATAAGTTAGTGTTGAAGCTCATATTTGTGTGTGTGTGTGTGTGTGTGTTTTTTTTTTTTTTTTTTTGACCCAAAAATAATTGTGGAAGAGAAGGGAAAAAGGGTGGTTTGGCAGTTTGTGATAGATTACTATTTAATATTTATACACAAATTTCCTTTATTTCCTTGTGGATGGCTTACTGACTATTTGGGTTGCATGTGTGGGTTGGTGTGGTTGCTAAGTATTTTGGAATCCAAGACTGCAATTCTTGGCCCAAAATTGGTCATTTCATGTTACTATGTTAATCCAACCATTTACTATTTTAGTTTGTTCAACATCCATTCTATGAAATACACAAGTATTGGTGTAGTTTCAAGTGAGTCAACAGAAATTTGTGTGTTTTGTCATGTCAGGGTTGCATTTACATGTGCACTTATTTGCGTAGGTTGCATTTAGTTTTATATGGTCGTATTCCCGTAGTGCATTCATATCCAAAATGCATATGTGTCGACCATTCAGAAACGAAATGCACCAGGGGTCTGTGACCCTTCACAGTAATGCATTAGAGATGTGCCTTCTTATTACTCATGCTATAAACCTTCTGCACTGCCTTGTGAAAATGCATTTCATTTATGCATTGCTCAATGAAATGCACTCAATGAAATGCATATGGGTTAAGCATTCAAATTATAAAATGTATACAACTATTGGTGCTCAAACAAGATGTAGTGACTAATTTGAACTTCCACAAAGGTATGATGTGATATACTGTATAGTATCTGTAATCATCTTTTGACTGAGGATTGACTAAGGGACAGTAAAGGTATAATTTGCCAGTCTAAACTGCTTTTTTTAATAGAGTAATGCACATGGAAAAAACAGCCTTATATTTGTCTAAACTTGTGATCATGATCCAGATATTTTATATTGGGACTGCAGCTTATTAGGGTCTTAAGAATAAGATAAAATAAGGTGTTAATTATATGTAGAGATTGCAGAGAGTGATTGTTTTTTGCACTTTGCTAATCATATTACCTACATCTTCTTATAAACGATTATGAAATGCTTTGCAGACAATTACTATTACATTAAAACAAAAACTTTTAGGCTCCAAATATACTGTGTAATATATAAAGTATTAGAGGGAATAAATATATTGTTTAATATATTTAATATACTGTCTATTGGTGTTTTAATTTCTTGTTCTGGCCTAAGTGCATTTTGATTAAATGTAAATGTTGTTTGTGGATATAGTAGAGACACATTGTGTTTGAAGGAAAAGTATATTGCGGTTAGGCATAATTTAATGGGGGATAAAGTAGAATAAGGCATGCAACACTAGGGTTTAAGGGGGTGTGCAACCCATTGCAAAGGAAAATCTGGATTAATATCGTTATATTCACTATACGATATGTTTGGTTGTGTTATGTTTTATTGGCATTGTGTTAACCGTACGTACTGCTCACTTGTTATTTGTTTGATCTTGGTCGAGAGCAGAAAATATAGTTGAGTAGTTGTGCACTTTACTATTTTTTTTTTTTAAATATATGTTAATGGTTTCACATACATGGATTTGTTGGTCGGAGTATTGTTTGTCATATGTGTATTTTTGTGCTTTAGGTTGGCTACTAGTGCATATTGGTTGTCTTTGTTTTTGGGTAGCAGAACTGTGAGTGCACCTCATTCTAAGTGGGTACAGTAACGGTATTGTGCCGAGGTAGCTTGATTTAGTACTCATGTTTTTAGTATAATTTGTTGGTGATAATGAACCAAAATCGATTTAATATCCCAAAAATAATATTTATATATACACACAAAAATATATAAAAAATATTACTGGATATATATCCGAAATATATATATACACAAAAATATATATAAACCAGATCCAAAGGTTATATATACGTATATATCTACGAAAAAGATATACCAATATATATCAACCAAAATTAGAACTTATAATCCTCATATTATAATTCCAATCCAACAAGAAAGTAGAAAGGATTTTTGCTTAGAGCATAATCCAAAACAAGAAAGAAGGAGAAGAATAAAGAATAGTACGAGTTAGGCGAAGTGCCTTTCTTTCCTTAAAACCTTATTTGCCACCTCCTAAAAGTTCTAGGAGCGTTGTGGCCTAGGTTTCCCAGGATAAAACGTACAACAGTTCGATGTTTGAGCACCCAAACGAACGAACCCGACGAACAAGAGCACGGGCAAAACACAGCTTCAAGAATGGAGTAGGAGCAGAGTTTTGAGAAGAAAAGTAGAATTTCTTTGTGTGTGTTCTTGTGTTGTTTCTCACTTTCTCACTATCACTGTATTAAAAAGGTTGCTCCCACAACATGTTTATATAGGAGATTGGTACTAAATAGCATCATCATGACACATTAACCAACATAAATTCAATTTAATAATTGAATTATAACGTTTGAAACGGTCGTACTTATTATCGAAATAATATCAACGGTCACGAACTTAATATCTGATTAATTCGTACCGATCATAACGACTCGTTTCAAAAAAAATATCTGAGTGACCAAGAAGTCCGTAAAAACCCGAAAGGGTGCCTTTCATTGTAGCCGATACAGAGACAGTTCTGGTTGGAACAGCTCGAAAAATTTAACCACTTCACTAGCCATGCTTTATGGTTCATACTGTCAGGTTTCAATGCTTTGAGATCGTAACCTTTCGGAATGGGGGATCTGTAACACCCCTGATTTTCAAGACATTTAAAACTTAATAATAAAGGTAACATCTCATTAAATCCCAAAGCGTAACATAAGTGTACGGGGTGCTATGCCACACCTGGGCTAGAGAACCCAGGTGCACAGGCTGTCTAACTACTATCCTCCGAAATATAAATGCATAACATGGCACGCAGGCCGAAAGAGAAACTATACTACTTCTACGCTCCAGTTCTAGCGCGCTCCAGTGCTCTAATCCTCTGTGCCTGAAAGCCAAATATATCTGTTCAGCGAGAGATGCTGGTAACCCACTCCAACGCGTTGAAATACAATACATATAGAGATATATATATAGATATACGAAAACCATTTTGAGCATGAAGATATATCTTACGAAACTCTAGCTTTAAAACCGGGAATGACTCGACAGATAAGGCCAGACACAAGTATAGTTATAACGAGCATATGCAGTTCACAATAGATAAAGTAGATAAGGCAAAGCATAAATAATAATCACAACCCATCATAAACAATCCCCAATATAAATCCCAAAGTCACATCCCAAGGCACTCATAATCACAACTCGTTCATATCACACACATAACGCACGTTGTTGGCGCCACAGGACCACTCGCATGCCCATACATGCGGGTCAGCGCATATAGCTCTGACACGGCCCCACAGCACCATGCCCCGTATCGCAACACGGGGAGGTCGATCGCAACCGACCGATGAACCGCAGCTCATCATAATGTTTGATCGCAACCAAACAGTGGACCGCAGCCCAAGAGAGTGTGTCATCTGACTGTAGCCAGGAATTCCCATCTGACTACAGCCAGCCTCTGAACCGCAGCTCAGGAAAATGTCATCTGATTGCAGCCAGGAATTCCCATCTGACCACAACCAGCTTCTGAACCGCAGCCCAGGATACCGTCATCCGACTACAGCCAGGAATTCCCATCTGACTGTAGCCGGCTTCTGAACCGCAGCTCAGGATAACCAATCCGATCGCAACCGAATTGGGGCAACACGCACACATAACACATAGCAAGCACATGCAACCCACATTACACATTGGGAAGGGGGATAAAGCGTATAACAACCTTATGCGTGATTCATCACGTACTAAGAATAGTCCTAAGGGGATCATACTTCTTCCTCCTAGGTCAACGGGATACCAATTCAACTAGCATGCAATATAATAGACTCATAAACCTACGAACGGTACCCGAAATATCAAACTAGACATAGGCACGACAAACGGGGTCCGTTGGGACACCACGGGGATCAGGGAAACATCAAACGGGGAAGCCAGGGTCCCGAGGGGGGGAAGATTCCAGCGGGTAGCCGGTGGGTGGGGGTCCACCCGCCGGACAATACTGTTCCGGGCAGCGGGTCGCCGGCGGGCAGCTGCCCGCCCGCCGGCTGCCCGCTGCCGGAACAGTGTTCTCGGCCGTGGGTAGGTGGCGGGTCCCCTACCCCCCACCTACCCCCCACTGACTCTTTTCATCAACTTTTCGCCTCGGGAACCGTTGTGGAACCCGAAACCATGCTTAGACACTTTACAACGTAATTCACGGCAACACGTAGACAATTAACGGATCAAATACGAGAAACGAGCGACACTTATCCTATCATGCTTTTCTAAACATAATCAACACCCAAACATGCAATTTCCCCACCCGATAATCCAAGAATAATAACATACGATACAACCTAGGGTTCTAATCACTTTTATATCACAAGAATACGATTCATCTTCTAATTGCAAGATTCGGTAAGAATAACACATAAACATCAAGGATGCCAATTAATCATCAAGAACATCATAATCATCAAGAACAACACGTAATCATCAAGGATCCCGAATTAATCATCAAGAATATCATCATTATCAAGAAACTCCCAATTATCAAGATTATCAAGATTTCCCATGGAATCATCAAATCAACATCAATAATAATCACCATAATTTCGCCATTCACAATAATATGGGGGAAACCCTAAGGGGAAATCATAGCTATGAAAATAAGTTTTGTTGAGACATGGGTTACCTCTTAGCCTTAATTAATTCCTTGGCTATGAAGGATCTTTCTTTAAGCTTCCTTGCTTTCTTGATTTCTCCTAAGGGAATTCTTGGAGCTCTTTTTGGGGTGGTGGGCGTTAATCATGTGGGGGGGTTCTAGGTGTCTCTTAAGTCCCTTATTTATATATTTAGGAGTCCTAATTAGGAATTAATACTATAGGCTTGCTAATTCTATTTCTTTCGGAACTAAGGATTGGGTTTAGGGGTTGGGTATATATATATGAGGGCCCATGGACTATGGTGGGCCTTTTTCTCTAATTAATCATTATGATTTATTCTTTCTCTTGGGCTATTGCTTAATTAATTAAATGGTTTTAGGGACCGTAACACGGGGTGTTACAGGATCCCCGTTGGCAACAACCACGGTAGTAGTTGATAAATCTGTCGATCCCAAAGTTCCCTTAATTGGTCTTCCTTGATCCTCCGGCGGTTTGTTGACGATTCAAAATAAGGATTCTTCCGCATTGATGGAGAACAATTGGCCTGAACAAAAGCAAGGGGCGAGAGTACAGAGCTTTAATCATATGAATATCTTTCGCCCCTTAATTGTGCTTGCTGCTCTGCGTTGAACTCGAAATGGCTTTCTCATATCGGGGCGTTCCGGTGACGTTCGATCGCGGTACCCTCCGTTATCTCCATCTTCGCCCAAGACTGCGGAGATACCTTCGTCCTATCCGATCAATGGAAAGAAATGACTCCTAAATCAGTCCCTAAAGCGTAGGACGACTGACTTTGGAAGCGTTCACCGGTAACAAAATCCCGATTTCCGCTATTCCGTGTGATGGCCAAGGCCGAGGCGGTACTTGTGATATTTCGGCCCTTTGATTTCACCTGTTTCAGCCTGTGCTTTATAAATTGCTTCGGCACAAAATAAGAAACGGTCTCTCCAACGACTTCTGAGTTCTAGTTCTTAGCAGCACAAGCGGGAGCCAGGGGGAAGGCCTGAAGGTTGAATTTCTGACCGCACGGAATCTCCATAGCCAATTTTCCATTTTTGATAGAAGGTGCTGCCTTTGGTCGTGAAAATCGGTTTTCTTGAGGGCCTCCCATTCTATTGATCAAGACGAACACCCATTCGTCAGCTGTTTGATCGAGATACTATTACCGAGGTTCCTAAACTTGGAATGGATGGCATGTAGGCTTGGGTCTTTCATTCGGGCCTTCTTGAAGATGGGCACCCTGTGGGCCAATGTGTGGATTGTAGCGCAGAACAGGGCTTGACTGGAAAAGTAGTGAAATGGCAAAATAGGAAGTCTCACAGGGACTGAAAACCACACCCGAGTAGTCCGCAAGCACCGAAACGGTGCAACACGAATAATTGCATATAACATTGATTCGTGCTCACCGAATCTAAAAGCCACAAAAGGAGCTCACACATAAGCACGAAAGGAGCACGAAACTTTTCAATTCCATGCAACATTCGTCCATGCATATTGCTATATTCCCAATTCCAAAGCTTAATTAAGCTCTTAAGATTAATTAACATAATTAAGCTTTCAAAACAAAGTTTAACTACACTTAAGCTTAATTACTTTCGTACAGGACCGAAAGCAGGGGTACGGATTGAGCTAAAACTCAATTCCCATTTATTAAGCTTTCGTACTTTGGACTTCTCCTAAATAGGTTCACTTTGAGAATCAATTTCTCATTCACCTATTACCCATTTTGAGCGTACATTATATCAAATTCTTCATCTTACTACGAAGAACCCGAATCCACATTGACCCGACCTAAATTGAAAGTGGATCCCACCTATATTTATACCACAGAATAACCACTCAAAATGCCATTTTAATGCTATTTTTTCAACATAATTATTCTTTTTTTTTTATTCACAGAGCAACTAGGAGAGAGCGTCATCGGTAACGCTTTGGATTACGACTTCCAAACGGCGTCGCATGATTTTGGGGTGTGTGTAGATAGGTGTCCAAGGAGTCAATTTCCACACGTGTTGCACTGGATGATCGGGAGAAGTCGGGCTTCGCTACGTAGCACAACGTAGACAGTAGAACACTATGGTGCAGACGTTTAGACTAGTTTTTGGATAGTACAACATTTCACCACGTACCTCTATTTTTATTGAAAGCCTTTTAAAATAAAAATGCACAATGAAACTACAAAGAAATAATGGACGGACCACACCAACACACTTCACTTGGAAGTACAGTTACGAGTGTCATGACCATCATATTTGTTGCAACACTAGCACTTTCACCACGTACTCTCCTCGATAGCTAACTCTCGCTTGCTCTTGATACGTTTCCCACTACCTTTATTTTTAGCTTGTGCAGGTGCCTTAATGGATATTGAAGGCGGAGGCTGAACACTGCATAATGCCTCAATTGTAAGACTATTATTACCCCTTACTCACGAACGTACACTGCCATGATGAATTATTACACCTCTACCCCCGTAAGAAATAAGGTTACGTCCTTGTAACCTAAACAAATACCTGGTTGGGGAGCTAATAAGCAAATCACCACAAATAAAAATAACCAAGTTCCAAAATATTTTACCAAATAACAAATATCAAAATAATGCATCATGATCAAATAATTATGCAACAATATGCAAGGTCTCACATTCTCCCCACGATTTTTTTATATTCATATATTATAGTTCTCATATACCTAGGCTCTGTGAGTAGTTGAGAGAACCGTGTGTTAATCCCATCGTACAATGCGTCGCACTCCTGGGCACCGGCTCCCCTTCACTGCCCCTGTGATGGACCCATGAAATTGTGGTAAGCAAACATGTTTACTATTACACCAAAGCAACAAAAGACACAAATTGATACAACCATTGGAGCTACAGTACTGTTGTTGTTGTTGTTGTTGTTGTTATTATTATTATTATTGTTATTATTATTGTTATTGTTATTGTTATTGCTATTGTTATTGTTATTGTTGTTGTTGTTGTTGTTGTTGTTATTACTATTACTATTACTATTACTATTACTATTACTATTAATATTACTATTACTATTACTATTACTACTAGTCAGGGTTGCAAAAATCCCGCCTAGGCACCGAGTAATTGGCGCCTAGGTGTTAGGCGCCCCTAGGCCGTGGCGATTTCCCCCCTAGGCGGGCCAGTCACCTAGGCGCCCGCCTAGCGCCTAACTCGGCCGATTACGCCGAGTTAACTCATCAATTTCTGTCGAGTTAGCCGAGTTAACCCCGCCGACTCGACCTTGCTAATTTTTTTCATTTATATGACATATATATATATATATATATATATATATATATATATATATATATATATATATATATATATATATATGTATGTATGTATGTATGTATGTATGTATGTATGTATGTATGTATGTATATATATATATATATATATATATATATATATATGTATGTATGTATGTATGTATGTATGTATGTATGTATGTATGTATGTATGTATGTATGTATGTATAATATGACATATATGCACCTACACACGTGCACTGTTTTCCATTTTTTCAGTTAGCCGCCTAGGCCGTCTAGGCGCTAGGCGCTACTCTACCGCCCGACTAGCGCCTAACGCCTATTGCAACCATGCTACTAGTAATTGTCCCGTGCAATGCACGAACTATTATTAATTTAACAAATTCACCAATTAAATTTTTGACATCCTCTGAATTAGCAAAGAAAGTAATGGTTGTGAAAACAGAAAAACATACTTGAGTTTTTGAGCTAATAATTAGTTTGATGAAAAATGTAAGTATAACTATACAATGTAATATTTAATATTTTTAAAAGTTTAATAATTATGCTATTATTATGTTGATTTTAAAGTTTATTGTTACTTATATTATTATTATTATTATTTGAATTTTTTTGAAAGGAATTTGAATTTGAAATACGTACTTTAATTATATAACTAACATATTTAAATAAAACTTGTAAATAAAATAACAGACGATATTTGTCGAAAATCTCCACCAAAAACTTATTCATTTGAAAAAGATTATTTATGTAAGAACTATATTTATTTTATATCTACCAAGACTATATGGTCTAATGGTACCTGAGTTGGACTTTCATTTGGAAGGTTGTGAGTTCGAGCCTGGTTCTTTGTGTTTCAGCAGACTTTGAGAAAGTATGAACACATACACTACATTGTAATAGAGCCAGTAGCATTCAAGAAAATATTTATTTTATATCTAATTTCTCCTCTTTATATATGTGGAGTCAAATTAATTATAATTGAGGTTTAAATGAATATATACACAAATTATATTAAATATAAGACTTTACCTATAAATTTGAACACAATAAATTTTTTTCCATACTTCATTATGCTTTTATGTATGTATATATATATATATATATATATATATATATATATATATATATATATATATACACACACACATAATAACTTCAACAAAATATGTATAAATACTACCCACACAATTAATGTATTCATACTTGCTAATCTTTATTATATATAAAGACGACTACTACTACTACTACTACTACTACTACTACTACATCATATATATAGTCATCTATGTACTTGAATAGGGCACTGAAGGGCTATCACTCGAAGCATAGTCAATGGGAGTTGGGCTGTCACTCGAAGCACAGCCATAGAGTTTGACTCTTGACTCGAAGAAGAGTAACTCATACAACCTCAAGGTTGTATCAATTGGTGCTCTTGTTGAGAGGATCATCCTTGAAAAATTATTTCCAGATTTGACTCAAAAAAGAAAAAGAAAAACCATAAATAGAGTAGCACTCATGGATTCATGGATTTGAATAGCAGCTTCAAGAAGATTTCCGTGGAGTTACCACAACCATCCAATAATGTTCACTTACATCTCCCTTAAGCTATGCTCTACAAACTACCTTTTCTAGAGAGCCCAACTGGTTCCCTTCTTCAAAGGGCAGAATTTGTATGGTTTTATTGATGGCACCCACAGATGTCCGCCAGAGTACGTCGCTGGGAGTTCATCAACCGCTGCCCCCTCTGTGAATCCTCAGCATGTCACATGGATCCAGCAAGACCAGTCGATCCTCAGCATGTTAATATCATCGATGGCAGAAGAGGTTCTCTACTTAGCGATCGGCCATTCCACATCGCGTGCCATAGGGGTTGCGATCAAGATAGCGTTGGGCTCTACTTCCCGCGCACGATCACTAAGTCTACTCACCCAGCTCCAAGGTCTCTGGCAAGGAGACCTATCTTCGGCAGAATACCTTGGCAAGGCGCAGGTATTGGTGGAGCAACTCGCACAAGCAGGTCGTCCAATTGGCCTCGACGAGCAAAATCTCCATGTATTTCGCGGCCTACGACTGGAATACCGGAGTTTTATCACCTCCCGTCTACTATTTCCCAAAATGCCAGTCCATATTCTTTGTTATTTCACAAAACCCCAAATTACGATTTACTCCGTGTCTTTGGTTGTGAGTGTTTTCCGTGCCTACGTCCGTATAACAAACACAAAATGGATTACCATTCCAAGTCTTGTGTGTTTCTAGGATACCCAGACTCTTTGCTTGGTTACAGGTGTTTGGACAGGGACACATGCCCTATCTATGTATTGAGACATGTGAGGTTCAATGAACAAATTTTTCCCTACCAGGACACACGACATAACGTCATCGCTATCACTTCTGGGGGAGATCTCACGCAGCCTTGGGCATCTGCCCAAGTTCTTCAGCCGACACCTCTGAGTTTGCTCGTGTCGGCACCCCCATCCGCCGCCAATCGGCCCCCTCCGCCACAACCACTAATTCCGCAGCCGACTTCTTCATCGGCAGCAGGAGCAGTTTCTTCGTCGTTCCAACTGACGACCTCGTCGATCGCCCCAAACAGGCGCCGTCGCACAAGGCCCAATATCCAGACCCACGTCATGCAACTCCGGACAACGACACATATGAGGCGGCGGAACTCGAGTCAGCAGCTTACTGCCTTGGTAGCTTCCGTTGATGACGCTGCCACTTGCCACACGCAAGTTGTTAAGTCACCACACTGGCACTCCGCTATGGACGCAGAATTCAATGCACTACTAGACAATCATATTTGGCGTCTCGTGCCTGCTCAATGTGACATGAACGTAATCGGGTGTAAATGGGTTTTCCGCGTAAAGCGCAAGTCCGACGGTTCTATTGATCGCTACAAGGCCCGTCTTGTGGCCAAAGGGTTCAACCAAGTCCCGGGCGAAGACTATTCCGAGACATACAGTCCCGTGCCCAAACCGACCACCATCCGACTACTTCTGGCATATGCTGTGTCTAACAAGTGGTCCATGCGCCAACTGGACGTATATAATGCCTTTTTGAACGGGCACATTGACGAGGGCATCTATATGCGTCAGCCACTCAGCTACACGAATCCTCATTTTCCAGATTATGTATGCAAACTACAACGATTGCTATACGGACACAAACAAGCCCCTCATGCTTGGTTTAAAAGATTGCATGATTTCTTACTGCAAATTGGGTTCAGACCGTCAAAGACGGACATTTCACTGTTTATTTTTTATTCAAGGCAAATATGGGCGTATATCTTAGTGTACGTCGACGACATTCTCTTGCTAGGCAACGACCCCGACATGATCAGTGGTGTGCTAGCTAAGCTGTCTGCGACTTTCCGCATTCGGGACCTTGGTATCCCACGATTCTTCTTAGGGATCGAAGCATCTTATGTTCGTGATACCGTGATGCTGTCACAACAGCGGTATTGAGCTGTTAGATTACTGTGGTATAGTTAGAGTATATTTGGGGTGGTTCTCTATTTTCCAGCTACCTTTCTGTTGAGCTTATTGTACATAAATGTTATTGATATGAGATAAACCTAGGGAACCAAAGAAATCAAATTTTTAACGATAATGAGATAAACCTAGGCTCTGATACCAAATTGATATGAACCTAGTCCAAGGTTCAAATAAAGATGGAATATTGTCCCAAGAATGCTCTTAATGTAAAGACAGAGATGGATCGAAATACCTTAAACCTCACGAGAAACCTTTGTCTCGAATCCTCAAAGACTTAGAAGAATCCCATTGTAGATTCAAGTACCTCGATGTTGCAATCTTCAATCAACTAGAGTCGGATCTAGTTTCCTTCGATTCAAGAACGAGTCCACGAACCTAAATCTAAGGTTGAAGAAAGTAAGATTGATTCGAGTCCACAAATCAATTTACTAGTCGAGTCCACGACTAGCCACTAATTGAGTCCACAATTAGCCATAAGATTTCTTACACAAGTGTAAAGAAAAACTTAAGAATTTTATTGAATTCAAGCCTCCGAAACTGATATGGATGTGCCATATTTATAGGTATAGGGGCAGCATTATAATTCTAAATACAATGGGAAAAAGAGTCCTAAACCTAATCTAGAAAAACAAGTAAATAGAGTTTCATTTAGAAAGGGATTTAAGGAATCCTTTCTAAATACAAACTAGTGTTTTCTCTTTAATTCTAAACAATTTAAAATAATGATGACCACAAATAATAAAGCTGTTTGGGTCTCGGATCTTGTGATTGGCCCAATTTGTAATCTTAATGGATCTTCATTATGTTGGGCCGCATCATCCTCCCCTTCTTGAAAAATGATTCAACCTCGTATCTTATAAACATTGTCTTCGATCCGTGACATCACTTGAAACGGGCCACTATAATACTTTCCTCTATCGAATGGAATTATTATTGGAATTCCTTGATTTTTCCACCAATGATGCTTTAAGGATGTACTTTTTGGCCTTGTGATGAGCCCACTATAAACCCTTATTGGATTCCATGTGTGCTGGTTCCTATTATTCTCCCATTCTTGAAAAAGGATTCGTCCTCGAATCCAAATCTTCAATGAAAGACAAAGTAGCAAGCTCACTTTCTGTTTTATCACGCTCATGAAACTTTTTCTTGGGATGCTTGACACGAGTCGCTCCAATCATCATCCTACAATCAACAAGTAAGGCAATTAAGTCTAATGACACATCATGGAATTTAAACATTCTGGATAGTAATAGATCAACAAAACGAGACATATTAAATTTAGCCATCTTGTTTGAATTTTCAACAAGCACAACATCTTTCCTTCTAGAGCTTAAGGCTAAACCAAACACAAAATCCATGGAAATATCAAGTAATGATTTAGATGCATTGTGGTGGTAAGTAGCACAATTATGAACATAAGATTCTACATCTTTTTTCTTCTTTGGCCAATGAAAATATCCATGCAAAACATCATCACTCTTTGGAAAACCAAATTGTCCCTCATGTAAATCAACTGTTAAACCATCGCTCAAATCAAAGCAAAAAGTGCCAATCCCGTTGACTTTGAACCAAAACCCCTTGTGCAAGTAGTATTTGCCATAAGAAGTTTTCAAATGTGCCTTATAACTTCCAAGTGATTCCTTATCTCTATCAAATAAAGTTTTAGTAAAATCAAAATAAAGGAATCTTGGATGTATGGAGGCAAACAAATTTCTAACACATCTAGCAAGTAGGTCATTAAAAGAAATATGGCAAACAAATCTAGAGAATTTTAATGCATGCTTTTGAAATAAAAGTGAGTAAATAGTTACTCCCCTTCTTTTCTCTTGCTTATTATCCTTTTTTGTTAGCAAGCGAGGTTGCACTTTGATAGCTCTGGCTGGTTCTTTCCACTGTACCACTGATAGCGGTTCCTTTATTTGGCTACAATCTAAGTTAGAGGACTGGAGTGGTGACTCCAATTCTAATCGTGGAGGTTCCAGTTTGCTCTCTTTGATTTCTTCTTTCTTCAAGGCTGGTTTGAGAGCTTGCTTCGATCTTAGTTGAATTTCTTCTACTTGTTTTGGAAGTAGAGGCTTAAGCACATGTATAAATCTATTATAGGTGACATTGCATGTGTTGTTGAGTGCATTATAATAAAAATGTCTATCATGTTGCCATGACCTTCCAAGTGAAACATGTGCAGTACGCATTGGCACAATATCACATAGAACCTCATCATAATACTTGCCAATACAAAAAGGAATAAAAACTTGTTTAGTCACTCTCACATCCCCTGAATCAATAAGATTGTATGGTTGGGGGTGATTGATAAGATGTAACTTAAGGTAGTCCACCATGGTTGCACTAGCTAAATGCATACAACGATCCGAATTGATAACGATAATGCATCCCTTTCCATGAATGTTTCCCCTAGTATAGAGTGGCAGTTGCACTCGCTTAGGGTGTTGCTCTAGATTAGTCATTCGAGTGCTTAAACCTTCCATGGCAAAGGCTAGAGCATCTATTTTCTGCTCTAATCTCTTACGTGTGTTTGGAACCTCTTCAGCCATCTGTAGATGAGAAACAAAATCTAAAAACAAGAAGATATGTGAGTATTCATGTTAGTGAAACCAAAAAGTTGGCTCGCTCCCTCACTATTCTCAACTCGCTGGTAAGAGGTGGATTTTATGGCTCTGGGGGTGCACTACACACTCTTACAAACACACACTCCACTCGTGTATCGCTCAAGGTGGCATATACTCTCACAAGCCTTTTTCCAAAAAGAAAAATTCTAGTCCGGAACTCAAGTTGATATGGATTCAACCTCAAAGTTCAAGAAAACGTACTTTGGAAAACTTCACAAGCCTTTGAGAGTAAGGTGTATCGCGAGGTAGGTAATAAAATTGAGAGCAAGAAGCAAAGAAAAGGGACAATACAAGCAAAGAAACTAAGCAAGATTTCAAAGAAAAAGGAAACCAAAGAAGGAAGTATGGCAGAAAGATGTGCAAGACCAATATCAACAGATAGAGACAAATAGAATGTAAGAGGGGTTCAAGTATACCACAACAAAATAGGAATCTATCAAGAACTCCTTCCAACCGTATACTTTTCCCCTTCCTTTTCGCTCCAAGATTCTCCTACCAACCTTATTCTTTCCCCAACCTTATACTTCTTCTTCTTTTACTTTCTCTTTTATTTATTTATTTTTTTTTGCTTTTTTTTTTTTTGATTTTTTTGATAAGTAAACTCCAAATAACTACTGTAAATATCAACAAAAATTTCGGACCAAGAGGATCCACACAACCCCATCAAAACAGAATCAAGAATTTCAAGAATCACCCAAAAAAACAGAAACTCTGCCCTTACTTCGAAGATCAATATCTCAATAACCGTAAGGAATTAGCAAGTTTATAATATATCAATAGAGAGCCCCAGAAGATATCTAAAACACATCAAAATTTCAGATAAAACTAACTAGTGGATCTCGAGATATAGGTCATTCTTTGAAACTGGTCACAGAACGCGGAAATCTGGACAGGGTGTGATTGCGCATAAATGCGCTTTGGATATAGGTAAGGGTGAGATGGGGTTGTTTTCTTGAAAAAATATCTGGTAATTTGGTGCTTAGGAGGTGTGAGGTCTTGTTGATATTGGACGGGAAAAATGGAAAACTCTTTCGGGATTGTTTTTCAAGAAACTGGAGAACATGTATCAAGATTCCAGAACACAATCAAGAATGCTAAGGAAATTTTTTTTAGGGTTTTTTATGAATAAGACACGAAAAAAAAAAGTAGTATGTAAGATAAGAATGAGATAAACCTAGCCTCTGAATACCAAATTTCTAATGATAATGAGATAAACCTAGGGAACCAAAGAAATCAAATTTCTAACGATAATGAGATAAACCTAGGCTCTGATACCAAATTGATATGAACCTAGTCCAAGGTTCAAATAAAGATGGAATATTGTCCCAAGAATGCTCTCAATGTAAAGATAGAGATAGATCGAAATACCTTAAACTTCACGAGAAACCTTTGTCTCGAATCCTCAAAGACTTAGAAGAATCCCATTGTAGATTCAAGTACCTCGATGTTGCAATCTTCAATCAACTAGAGTCGGATCTAGTTTCCTTCGATTCAAGAACGAGTCCACGAACCTAAATCTAAGGTTGAAGAAAGTAAGATTGATTCGAGTCCACGAATCAATTTGCTAGTCGAGTCCACGACTAGCCACTAATTGAATCCACAATTAGCCATAGGATTTCTTACACAAGTGTAAAGAAAAACTTAAGAATTTTATTGAATTCAAGCCTCCGAAACTGATATGGATGTGCCCTATTTATAGGTATAGAGTTTCATTTAGAAAGAGATTTAAGGAATCCTTTCTAAATACAAACTAGTATTTTCTCTTTAATTCTAAACAATTTAAAATAATGATAACCACAAATAATAAAGCTGATTTGGGCCTCGGATCTTGTGATTGGCCCAATTTGTAATCTTAATGGATCTTCATTATGTTGGGCCGCATCATCCTTCCCTTCTTGAAAAATGATTCAACCTCGTATCTTATAAACATTGTCTTCGATCCGTGATATCACTTGAAACGGGCCACTATAATACTTTCCTCTATCGAATGGAATTATTATTGGAATTCCTTGATTTTTCCACCAATGATGTTTTAAGGATGTACTTTTTGGCCTTGTGATGAGCCCACTATAGACCCTTATTGGATTTCATGTGTGCTGGTTCCTATTAGTTATACCTTCTTCTTGAATAATATAGAACAAAGATTTAGGGGTCGTTTACTTCATTTCTCTGTTTTTTCATTTCCAGTTTTCCATTTCTCTATTTCTCCAGTTTTCTTTCTCCATTCTTCCAGTTTTCCATTTCTCCATTCCTCCAGTTTTTCATTTCTCTAATTTTTTATTTTATTAAATACACCTATATAACATTTTTACATTTCTACAACAAAGATAACAACAACAACAACAACAACAACAATAATAATAATAATAATTGTAATAATAATAATAATAATAATAATAATAATAATAATAATAATAATAATAATAACAACAACAACAA